TGACCAAATACCTGATAAAGTAAAAGGTTCCATGTTGTTCACTTTTCTAGCAAATTAATCTAAGTCTCTATCTAGTTGTGGGGACTTGAGGAATGGCAGAAGTAGCTGGTTCTATATCTTTAGGGTTTGTTGCAAATTTTAGGATGCTAAAACTGCTTTTGCGGTTTCGGATGGTGCTGCTCGAAATCTGATAAATAGCCTCGAACGTGGAGAGCCTTGGAGTTGGGGTGAAAATGAAAAATGTGGAGCTGGTGAAAAGTGAGTTTACCAGACCTCTGTAGTCTGCTCCTTATCTTTGGTCCCTACGTATACCTTCACCTCGATCTAACTCGTCCAAACACGAACAAGGTATTGACAAGAAGAACAATGTGTACGTTGATATTGATGTTTTTTTCCCTTCTTCTGCTGTCAGACATACTTTCATTGTTGAATCCAACCATCGGTGCTAAATTATTAAAGCGTTCCGCTGCACAACCCTAATCAGTTTCTCTGGACTGCGCACCGTCTGAAAAATGGTATTTACAGCATGCATCTGTATTAACTGCTTTGGGGTGAAAAGTGAATCAGTCACGCAAACATGGTGTGAAAATATCTGAAGTCGGACCCACCAAGCGCTCCACGCCGTGAAGTGAGGCTCCTTCTAATGATTGTTTCAGCATCGGCAGCCTGTTTTCTTGTTCATTTTTTTGTGTACCCTCTCCTCCCCTGGGATCTGCATTCCAAGCAGGGCCTGTTGTTTAATGGGACTATAATAAAATGTTCAGTCAGCAAGCACTGGTGCTTTGCTCTTTCCCTGTTTACTCACCCATACGCCTAAACCCGCCCTCCCTCCCATGCATCCCTTTTTTTCCCCCCACTCTGCAGCATTTCTTGAAGTTAACGCTTCAAAAAGCCTGGCAGCTAAACGCCGGCCAAAGTACTCTTGAGAAAACAGCATCGTACGACTTGTTCTGTGTGGGACTTTTTTTTTCTTCCCACTAAACACCCGGTGCTGGTTGTCAAGTGCAAAAGGGGGCAGCATGGGGTCAGATCAGCTGGATGTTGTGTCTTCAGATTTCAAAATACAATCATAAGCAGATGCAGCAGCATTTTCTGGGGGCTTGCTTGTTAACTCTGGACTTGATTTGACTTCACTACAGCTACACACACACATATATATAAGCCTAATCACTCCTTTTCAACTCCTTGTGGTCAAGCTGGGTAACAATCCCCCCTCTCCGCCTCACAAAGTGTGTA